AAACACCTGTATTCACAAATATAAAACGGACAGAGAAACTCACAGAGTAGAGCTTTCAAGTATACTTTTTAACTTAAAGCTATGGTCCAAATGCTCTATGAAACCTCCAATGATAGCAGAGGTTGAATTAAAATAATTCAGGCTACTTTCCCCCCCAAAGACATCAGGTGCTAATTATCCCTTCAATGCCTGCCTGCTTTTAATGGTATCCACAAAGCAAGAAAGATTAAAAATTAGACCTCAAGAGTCATGATTCACCAGCCCCCAATGTTCATGTGATCTCTGTTTGGCAGAGTGATGGCCACCATCTTAGTGAAGGATTCTATTGCTGTAATAAAGCACTATGGCCAAAAGCAACTTGAGAGGAAACTATATTTCGTCTTCTACTTTTAGATAAAAACCCATCACTGTGAGAAGCATGGAAAGGGACTCAAGCAAGGGAGGAATCTAGAAGCAGGAATTGACTAAGAAATTGTGGAAGGGTGCTGCTCACTGGCTTTCTCCTCATGGCTCACTTAGCCTGATTTCTTATGGAACCCAAATCTACCATCCCAGAAGTGACATTTCCCATAGTGATCGTGACCCTCCCATATCAATCATCAGTCAGAAAGAAAAATGCAATACAGGCTTGCTGATAAGCCAATCTGATGAGGACATTTCTCATTCAAGGCTCTATCAAATGATTCTTTCAAAATGATTCTAGTTTGTGTCAAGTTGACATAAAAGTAGCCAGCATAGTCAGATCATGGCCATAGGGAATAAAAGATAGAAGGATTCCTGACCTAAACCCTCCTGAGCTCTTGCTTTTAGTTTCGGTTTCCCATAGAATCATTCTTCCTCTGGTTAGTTTAATAATAGACCTAATTTTGTGAATTGCAGGTAAAACGTTCCCCACAGGCTCCAGTATTTGAATATTTGGTCACTAGCTGATGTTACTGTTTTTGGAGGCTGAATAACCTTTAAAAGGGAAGGCTTAGCTGGCAGACATAGGCTAATTGGTGTGGAACTTTGAGGGCTATTGCATACCTGATTCAATTCTACCATTTTCTCTCTGCTTCCTGCCTGTACTGGTGAGAGCAAACACTGCAAGGTCCCATATCCACAGAAGAAGCTGTTTCAGCTGGCATGCCTTCCCTGCTATGATGAATTAATGCCTACTATGATGTATTAATGTCCCCTGATAATCCAACCAAACACCATTCATGTATATAATAATCTAGATAACCTTGCTCAGATGTAGCCCATGGCAGCTATGTGGGTACCCTAGTAAGGGGAACATGGACTGTTTCTGACATGAACTCAGTGGCTGGCTCTTTGACAACGTTCCCCTGAGGGGGGAGAAGCCTTGCCAGACCACAAAGGAGGACAATGCAGCCAGTCCTGATGAGACCTGATAAGCTAGGATCAGATGGAAAGAAAGGAGGTCCTCCCTATCAGTGGACTTGGAGATGAGTGTGGGAGGAGATGAGGGAGAGAGGGTGGGATTGGGAGGGATTTAGCAAGGGGGCTACACCTGGGATAAAAATGAATAAACTGTAATTAATATAAAAAAGTAAAAATTTAGTTAAAAAATGGAGGAGGAACAAGCAAAAGCATATTTATGAAGGTCCCAACATTTACTTAGTGAGATCTATCCCATGGCCTGGGAATTCTGGGAATGAATGCATCTAAATGAGGGACATATTTAGTTTCAAAGAACTAGTTAATTTACTAAATTATTCTGTGACCAATCTTTCCTGCAAAGAATATACTGTCACTGGCCAAATCCAGTGAGCAACACCCCAAGTAGTATTTGCTATTGTGAGATAGACTGGGAAAGCTATATGGATCAGTGGTTCACGTCAAACTGGGAATACAGTTTCCAAGAACCATATTAATGGGGCCTAGTCAGTGTACTGGATACTAGGAGGCCTGCCATCTAATCCCACCTTGATAGCTCTTGGGTTTTCTGACATATGAAACTTTTTTCTTTTTTTTTTTTTTCAGTTTTTTTGTTGTTTGTTTTTTCTTTTATTATTATTATTATTATTATTAATTACACTTTATTAATTTTGTAACCCCCATAAGCCCCTCCCTCCTCCCCTCCCGATCCCACCCTACCTCCCCTTTCTTCGAAACTTTTTTCTTAATATGCACTCAACAACCATAAAAGTGTCCGAATATAGAGACAACAAAATTCACATTATTAGTATCAGCGATTTTAATAGCATCCTGTGCTGACCTGTAATTTTGGGAATATGGGAGTTATTTGTGCTTGTGAAGTTTTCTTCTTTTAATCTAACATTAAGGTAATTTTCTCTTTTCAGTGTTAATGTGGGCTACACTTACAGATAATGTATGCTTCTCTCTGTATGTGCATATATGTGTATGCATGTATTTGTTTGTATATTTGTGTGTATGTGTGTATATGCATCTATGTTTGTATATACATGGGAGAGAGAGCTTTCTCACAAGTATTTGTGAGAGTTACTTTGTAAACTTCCCAATTCATAGAATGGAAAAATATGGCAGAAAAACAATTTCCAAATCTATGGAAAAATAATCCGATCACCCAGAAAGCGTTTAGAAGACAAAACATGTAAGAAGAGGGTAAACCTTTCCATTGAGCATTATAGTCAGGTTTCTATGATGAAAAGAGTTTTCATTTGACTAAATTAAGTATCAAATAGAAGACAACTGTTGGGGCATACTAAGAGTGCCTTCCTGCAAATATGTTACAGAGGACATCTTAAGGAAGAGTCCCTATCAATTTGCCTCGTGGCCTATGTATTCATAGGCCTGTGAATTGAATACACAGGAATTGAATTCCTGTGTATTCAAAATCACTGGGGCCTAAAGCCAGTGGGAGAATGAGTAGATATATCAGGGAACATAACCTTGCCTTAGGGGTAAGGTTTTAGGTCTGCCTCCGAGAGTACTCTGTGTACAACTCTCTCACGTAGACAGGAGTGCTGGGGGTGAAGGTGTAATAG